CATATTTTATACTTTGTGACTGATCTTTGTCTTTGATGTGAACATTTATTCTTATAGTTTAAGGTTATTTAAGATTGATCCTGTCGTAAGTCTTCTACCTGCAACCATTCGACAATATTTCGTTTTAGCGTTATCTTTGCCGTTACGTTGGCTTCGCGTTACTTTTGTTTTAAATATCTTGATCGCGTTAAAAGAGTTATTTTTCAGGCCAGTGACATAGCTAAAAGACTTGACATTAACGTCATTGTGATTTTATAGAGATATCTCTAGAACTGAGGATTTTTGAAAGCGTTATCTGTACCTTCTCAAAGTTATAGACAAGATATGTTGTTTACGTCCAACACGCATAAGATTACATAACTCAAAATTATTCGAGCAAAACCGATCTTTTGTTAAAAGGAAGAATGGTTAATAGAAATTCGTCCTTTTGAGTGACATAATCGTGTATCGTCATCGATCCGTATCGTTGAACAATGAAAAAATTTGTTGTGAAATTAGTGAAGATAAAATAGCATTTTGTGAAAAAACTGCGGGTCTACGGAGTGGGAACTTTTCGGATTTGAACTCAGCGTGTTCGAAAGTGTTAGTTCCCGTAAAAATATTTCAGGTCTAAGACATGCTTAATGAAAGTGAACGATATCGGGTCACAACACACGGACTATAATGCTTTTTCTAAACTATCAGAGTGGAAATGTGTATGATACATTTTTTGTTTAGTCTTAATTGACTTCAGCATTCCATCAGTAATCCATGGTTTGAGGATTTGTTTACGTTTACTTCTTGGTACTTTGCGAAGGGGAATATGCTTGATGACCATTCCTTTGATTGCTTTAATTACATTGTCTGTGGCCTTATGTAAATCCCCATTTGTATTTAATAATGTATTCCATTTTATTTGCTGCATATCATTTAAATAATGTTGTTTATCAAAATGTTTATAATCCCTAAAAGATGGCGTTGAGGAATTTCTTTTCAAATTTATGTCAGCAATACAAAATATCGGAAGATGATCAGAAACATATACCCGACATTAGTTGCGATATGTTTGTGTTTGTATATATATGATCAATTAGAGTCTTAGAATGGTTAGTTAAACATGTTGGTTTAGTAATAATTGGAAATGTGTTATTGCAGTATAACATATCTAGATATGTTTCAGTTGGTGTGTGAGTGACGTATTTAATAAAATCGATATTCATATCACCAAGAATATAAATATCATATTTACCCCGATTCAAGTGGCCGAGCAACTGCTCCAGCTGTTCAGTAAATTTTTCAACATCAGATTTCGGGTGTCTATAAATACAACCAATTATAATATATTTTTTGAGGGAATACCAGGATCAATCTCAACCCAACAGGATTCAACAAGCTCCAAATTAATTTCTAAATAATGTCTCAGTATTGATTTTATACTACAGGAGACATAAAACTAATTCTAACTCCTTCCTTGATAATTCATCAGAGTTAAACCTAAACAACTCCTTCTCGGTACTGGACTCTGTCATAACCTCCAACTCTGAGCACACAAAGGCTCATACTAATCCCTCTAATACAACACCTAAACCAACATGTTGCAAACTCAAAGGCATGATAATAAACTGCAATGGTCTAAAGAGTATCTCTCGATCTAATGAGCCCAAAGCCTTGCTTGATTTGCATAATAGGCCGTAGGATGACCACCCAAAAGATGCTTAGAAAACAGATTCCGTTGCACCCCTTGTGTAACTACGTAATTTTCACATGAATAAATAGATACAAACTTACTTTATCAGAATCCTTTGCTCCCCAAGCGAAACAGGTGCACATAGCACATTTGGGAGAAAAATCCCTCCAAAGTTTGATATTTTCATAAATATCGACTGGAGGTATATGCAAAATGAAAAAATTAAAAATCTTCTAACTTTGTCAAAATATAGGTCTAGGTGAACTATTACTAGAAATATTTCATTTGACAATTTCCTTAATATATTTAAAGATAATTATGACGCTAGTTTTCCACTTAAGAAAATTAATCAGAGAAAATTTGATACAGTTAAAAGTCCGTGGATGACAATGTCCATCTGTAAATCTGTACAAACTAAAAACTCACTTTATAAGAAATTTCTAAAAAATCCTACTGAACGAAATGAAAAAAAATTATAAAAGATTTAAAAATAAATTGAAACATGTAATTAAAATTGCAAAAAAACTACACTATGAAGAATTATTCATAAAATATAAAAACGATACTAAAATGACATGGAAGACCATTAATACACTATTAAATAAAAATTTAAAAACTAAAGAATTACCTAACAAATTCATTGCAAAAAACTCAGGCGAATCAATAACAAACCCTTCAAAAATCGCTGATAAATTTAATGAATATTTTATAAATATTGGACCACAATTGGCCAGCAAAATAAATGGAAATTTGGAGACTTCAATTCAAAAATATCTTACGGGAAACTTGATGGACAGTATGTGTCTAAATCCAATAACTGAAAACGAAATGATAAGTGAAGTACTTAAATTGAAAGACAATAAAAGCCCTGGGTATGACGAAATCAATGCCAAAATCATTAAAACTGTCGCAACAGACATTAGTCAACCACTTACCCACATATTCAACCTGAGTTTCGCAACAGGTTTTATCCCTGAGCAGTTAAAGTTGGCCCTGGTTACTCCTATTTTTAAAGCGGGTGATAAACAAATATTTGAAAATTACAGACCTATTTCCGTCCTGACGTGTTTCTCTAAATTACTAGAGAAACTTATGTACAAAAGACTAATTAGTTTTATTGAGAAAAATAAAATACTAACAGAAAACCAATATGGTTTTAGGCGTAATAAATCAACAGAAATAGCAATTGTAAATCTTGTTAGCAAAATTACCAAAGCAATTGATGAAGGTAAATATACAATAGGAATTTTTCTTGACCTATCAAAAGCTTTTGATACCGTCGATCATGATAATTTTATTAAAAAAGATGGAGCATTATGGAGTAAGAGGGCTTGCTTTAACGTGGTTCCTGGTGTTCCCCAAGGATCTGTTCTTGGGCCATTACTTTTTTATTATACATGACATACAAAACTGCAGTGATGTTGTTTCATTTGTCCTGTTTGCAGATGATACAAACGCATTCTATTCTAATTCGAGCATTAATATAGCAAAAGAAACAATGCAAAGAGAGATGAATGAAATACTTAAATGGTTAAACACAAATAAACTCTCTATAAATACAGCTAAAACAAAATTGATCCTTTTCAGAGCACCCAATAAAAAGCAACTAACTGAAATTGATATTAAAATAAATGACCAGTCGATCGAACAAGTGAAATGTACAAAATTCTTGGGTGTTCTAATCGATGAAACACTCACATGGAATAATCACATTGGTTCAGTTTTAAAAAAAATATTTAAATCAACCGGAATTATTTCTAAAATTCGGCATTATACGAATCAAAATACATTAAAATTGCTTTAATATGCCCTTCTCTATCCTTATCTCACTTATGCTAATTTAGCTTGGGGTAACACGTACCCTTCAAAATTGCAAAAATTGATGAGTGTTCAAAAGAAGATTGTGCGTCTAATCACTTTCAAACCGTATTCTGAGCACACGGAACCATTATTCAAAAAATTAAATCTATTAAATATTTACAAAATAAATTTGACCAGTTTATTTATGTTTCAATTTTACAACATGAACAATATGCCCGAAATTTTCAACATTTTTTTCAAAACTAATAATGAAATTCATAATCACAATACTAGAAGTTCCAAAAAACTACATAAAACCTACACCCGAACTAATTATATGAAACATACTCTCTCCAGTAAAGGAGTAGATATTTGGAATAATTTGAACGAAGATTTAAAATCCATCCAATTTTACCAATCGTTCAAAAAACAAGCTAAAATTTATTATCAAACACAAGAATAATAATACGGCATTATATTATATTATTCATTGACGTCTAAAACAATGCTTCCATCATCATGAACTCCTAACTTCATATTTGTTGTATATCTATATTATTGTAAAACTATATCACAACTTTCTTTAAAATTTTATGTACTATATATTAACTGACATATAGCTATCGTTTGAATTTAATAGGGGCCTTGCACAAAAGCTTCTTAAAGTTTCTTAAAGGCTCCTAGCTCTAGTATTCAACAGTCGTTATACTGTATATTCTATCTTAATTATGTAAATAGGGCGAATTTTTAAAATAAATAAATAAATAAAAAATATAACTTTAAGTTCAATCAGATTTTTATTTTAGGCAAACAGCTATTTTTTATTTTCACGTCACAGACTGGTTTTACAGGACACATACGACAGGTCATTTACAGCTCGCTTAAAAATTGAAATAAAGATTTATCACAAACCTTTATTAAATGGTAATTTTTACGAGTACAAATTATTGTTAATGGATGATACTCAATGCGCTAGACCAAAAAATTATAGATTAAAAATGTCTATGTTAAGCTAACTCGAAAGCTACTATTGTCTAAACAAAGGAAGACTCTATCACAGACTTTCATTATTTGCTACCTATTTGTAGCCTACGGCTACTGCACCCAGTATCGTTTATTAATTATTGTTCAAACCACTATATGTTTGACCTATTCATAACTATAACAATGAAACTATAGTTAAACATGGGCAGATATCCGAGTTAGCTTTATCCACCTATATCATTCTTACTTGGATTGCGAGCTGTAAAGACTGATCTAAAGAGTCATTTAAAAAATTAATCGTTGCACGTTTATCATTTCTAAACGTTCAACAAAAATAATGCCAAGAGTTAGCAAACCACGATCACAAGTTCGTCAGCAGGATCAATAACCATCCAGTACTCAACCGTCCGTCGAAGTACCGAGCAATTTGGGCGAGTTATCAATTTTAGAGTTGAAGAACCTTTGCCGCGAACTCAACTTTTCCTGTGCTGGCGGCCGACGAGTACTTACAACGAGTCTACAAAACGAAAGACAACGTCTAAGCACGAATATGCCGCAATCCAACATTCAAACCATTCCAGTAAACAACATGTTATCTAATTCCAACGTAAGGGAAAGCTTCAGCGCCGACCAACTGGCGCAGATTACGCAGATTGTTTTGCAGTCGATCTCGTCGTTCTTTGAAAGCCAACACACCACAACAACCACAACTTGTGTAGATGAGCAGCCAACTATCCCGCCAACGCCACCCGGACAGCTTGGTCAATTTTCATTTTTAAGTTCCAGCGAGCTCCAGCAGCAGCCGACTTCATCCCATGGACCTGTTGCCTCAATCCAGCAAGCAGATGGGGGATTCACGCCAGATATTCCAAACAAATACGTTCGTGACATCGAAAGTGGTGAGTTTTCGAGCTTGCTAAATTATTGCTAAAAATTTAAATAAGTTAAATGTTGGTTCCGATTCTTCTGACAACGTGGGTTTCACAATTTCCTTTACAGGAATCTCAACACCGTGCAAGCCTCAAGTGCTGACTAACATTGAAGAGTGGACAACCGCTTTCAACACATATATGTTAATCATAGTACAAAAATTTCCAAATCGTGCATTAGAACTTTTACAGTACATGGAAACCATCCGTCATGCGGCAAAAACGCATGGCGGTTTAGGCTGGGTGCATATATGACCATAAATTTCGTTATAAAGCCGCTGCGTGTTGAACATTGTCATGGGCCAACATTGATAATGCAGTTATGGTTGCGTATTTTCACCGCTAGCTCTACTCAGTTGCGGGAGGATTATTCCTTTTTTACGATTGCACCCTCAAACAAAGCTGGGGCAGTGAGGGATGGAATTTGCCACAGCTACAACAGGGGTAGACCTTGAACATTACGACCCAATTGCCCTTACACTCACCGATGTAACCGAATTGGTTGTGGGGGGAACCATCCTGGGTACCAATGTCCACAATCCCGTGGGGAAAATGATCACAACGACAACCACCCTTCACAATCCGCCCGTAGCTCCGCGAAGACCAACAGAAAATAGAACTGTTAGTTTAAAGTGTAGTATATATAATAGCAGTAATTCAATACCTCTAGATAATACTATAGTTACGCCAATTTGCGTTGACGCGCTTGAAGATGTTCTGTGCTGATTTCGGTGCTTGTCTAGGATATGATGGTCCTTGCATGTCCAATTTTTCGAAAAACCTCAAGTCTGCCATTGACAATCCAACTATTGTTTCAACTAACTTAGCTAAGGAAGTTGCTCTTGGCCACACAGCTAGTCCTTTCACCAATCCCCCATTTGCTAATTTAAACGTTTCGCCGATTGGCATTGTACCTAAAAAGCATTCAGATAAATTTCGAACCATTTTTCACCTCTCGTTTCCAAAAACGGGAGAATCAATCAATTCCTTTATTGAGAAAGACGACTTTTCATTGCAGTACATAAAAATCGACGATGCAATTGCAGCTTTAATCCTATTAGGCAGAGGCACTTATCTACCTAAAACTGACATAGAATCTGCTTTTCGTCAATTCCCTGTTCATCCTGACGACTGGGAGTTATTAGGCATATATTGGAACAAGTCCTATTATTTTGGTCTGCGTAGTGTGCCGTATATATTTTCAATCAACTTTCGGATGCACTTGAGTGGATTTTACTCAACAAGTGTTTTATAAGCTATGTTGGGCACATTCTAGACGATTTTCTCATCATGGAACCACCAGCCCAAACTGGGCTGCCTTCTCAAGCATGCCAAACTAGCCTTTCTATCATGTTGTTAACATTCTGCACGTTAGGTGTTCCTATTGCAGAACATAAAACTGAAGGACCCAATCTCATTATAGAATTTCTAGGCATTATCATTGACTCACAAAAGATGGAGGCTCGTCTTCCAACCAATAAATTGAACCGTCTATTTGTTGATTTAAATTTGTGGCACACAAAAAAGTCAGCTACACTCCAAGAGCTCCAATCACTAATTGGCACATTAAATTTTGCATGCAAAGTAATTGCCCTGGTTCGAGCTTTTCTGCAACGTATCATAAATCTAACACGGGGTGTCTCTAAACCACATCATCACATTTGCTTGACGAATGGTTTTCGCGAAGATGTAAAAATGTGGCAACTTTTTCTTAAAGATAGGAATAGGACAAGTTTATTTCTCAACTCTTTCTGGGGAAATTCTACAAACCTTTCTCTCTATACGGATGCCTCCGGGACCCTTGGTTTTGGGGGAATTTTTCACACCCAGTGGTTTCAGCGTAAATGGTTGCCTCACCAAACACTTACCACAAAAAATATCAGCATTGATTGGCAAGAGCTCTGTGCTATGGTGGTAGCTTCCTACATATGGGCACCTTTATGGGCTCAAAAACGAATTGTGTTTTACTGCGATAACGAGGCAGTGGTTTCCATAATCAATTCCAAACGTTCAAAAAGCCCTCGTATTATGGACTTAGTGCTTGCTTTAACCTTACAAACACTGAAGTATAACTTTTATTTCAAAGCCTTACATGTGACAGGTCATTATAATGACATTGCTGATTCTATCTCCCATTTTCAGCAAACCAGATTTCGGCAGCTAGCACCGCATGCAGACCATCAACCTCTACCAGAGGAACTTTCTCATCTCTAGACGCTGACTTACGTCGTTATCAACTTGCTTTGTTAGCTCAAGGTACGATTAAAACTTATAGCAGTGGCAAAAAACAGTTAACAAATTTCTACTATCAATTTCATTTACATGAGCATGTGCCTCGTCTGCCAACAACGGAAAACATTCGGATTTACTTTGCTGTTTTTCTCACTAAGATGGTAAATCCAGGCACCATCAAAGTCTATCTTGCAGCAGTACGCCATATGCATTTGGTTAACAGCTATGACCTTCAAATCACCAAATTTCAATGCCTACACTATATTTTGTGAGGTATAAAGTGAGTAAAAGGAGTGTCTATAACACGCCTACCAATTACATTAGACCATTTGAAATTGTTTCACCGCATCTTACACTCACAGACATCACCAACACATGATGAAACCATGATTTGGGCAGTGATTTCCATAGCATTTTTTGGGTTTTTGCAGATTGGTGAAATTACTTGCTCCGGCCCTTATAATTCTTCAACAAACCTTTGCCGATCAGATGTAAGTTTTCATAACAAAACACGTGAGGATAACAAGGTTTTTCTGCAACTACGAATTAAAGCGTCAAAAACTGATCCATTTCGAGCCTCAGCCACGATAACCATTGGCAGCAATTCTGGTATGTATTGTCCAGTAAGGGCCCTTCAAACCTACCTTTCACGTGCGCCAACAGACTATGCGGGACCATTGTTTTGCTACTCAAACGGTGTTCCTTTATCACATAGTCAATTTACTAAGGAACTACAAACACTTTTGGCCCAAGGTTGTCATCACCCTGCTCATTATGGAGGCCACAGCTTTAGAATCGGAGCAGCTACCACAGCTGCGTCCCAAGGTTTGCCTCATTGGCTTATTCAAACGCTAGGAAGATGGTCTTCCGATTGTTACCTCAGATATATTCGCACGCCAATCAATGTCCTTACAGATGTTTCAAAACGATTGATTGCAGAATGAGATAAACACTCGATCGTTGTTTGTTGGTCTATGGGGATCACACACACTATCGTTGTGTGATTGTGGAGGCAATTGCTCTAGTATGAGGTCGCAATTTTACCATAGACCTCACGTTTCTTTACAGAATTTGGCAACCTGGCTGACAGCCAATTCCCATTTACAAAAATCACTCTATTTCTGCATATGAGTATATGTGCTGAGCCAGATCAGTGTTCTAAGAAATATTTCCCTGATCATTTTTTCCCAGGGCCCAGCTCAGAGTATATGTCTTGCAGGGCAGGCTAGGACCCAGCTCTAAATGGAGTATATGTTCTAGCCGACTCAGGACCCAGCTCAAAATCTGTGCGGTAAAAGTATATGTCTTGGGCAGATTAGGACCCAGCTGCAAATCAGGATATGTCCTAATCGACTTTCCCCAAGATCCAGCTTTTCAATACAAGTATATGCCCTGGGAACCACTCAGCACCCAGCTCTTTGCAGTTAAAAAATACAGTATATAGAGCAGTTGTCCCACACTTCCATAACCCACAAACCTTGTGTTCTTATGTGTGTCGTTATATTAAATATCTCAAAATATGTAAAAATTAAATATCTCGAAATGGTATAGAAATTCGGCATGGCTTTGGTGAGTGGCCATGTGGGTGTGCAGGAATGGTTGTGACTGGTTGGGTTCGAATATACCATCGGGCTGATAGCTCAGTTGGTAGAGCGATGGGCTTGTAACCCAGAGGTCGCCGGTTCGAATCCGACTCAGTCTCAGCTTTTCCTGTTCACTAAAAAATACTTACCTACGGTGATTAACATATATATATATATATATATATATATATATATATATATATATATATATATATATATATATATATATATATATATATATATATATAT